CCGCCGCCGCCGCCGCCGCCAAAGTGGCCAAGTTCTGCAACTGCAGCGCACTCATACCTGCAGAGAGAGGCGAGCCACAGAGTCTTCGGTCAAGTCTCGCGCCGGCTCCTGGGCGCGGTTGTCAAGCGGCAAGGCGCCTTGCCGCTGCCATCGCCATGACGACGCGTGAGCTGGTGGATGGGTCGTATATACGTCGCGCCGTATATACCGCTCCATGGCAACACAAACAACAAGCGCGCACGCTCACACGCACAACGGGAAGGCACGCCAAGGTGCCAGAAGGTCGCCAAAACAGCGCAAGGATGGCGCCAACTCTGCAGTGAGGGGCCCTCAACAAAAAAAAACACACACACACAAGCCAGGACGATGTGTCGAAATAAAACTAAATAGACATCAACAACGCCTGTTCAAAAGATTCCAGTTGAGTCCAAATGTGAGCACCAAATGGCCCATGTACTTGTGTGACCTTTGACCTCACCAGTAAGAGCGCACCGCTCGAATCGGTCCAAGCGCAACAAATGTCAGGACAAAGACACTTTGTCAAAGAATTCCAGGATTGAAGAGAAACGGGTGACAGAGTTCCAGGGGTGCCAAAGCTTTCGGGACGAGGCCAGTCGGTCAAAAGAGGCAAACGCAATTCCAAATGATTCCAGCCCAAGGCAATTTGGACAGTTCCATTTGGTGGCAGAATTCCCCGACAGAGACGCGTTCTGGAACGGGGACGCTTGCGGGACAAAGACACTTGCTCAAAGACTCCCAAGAAATCCAGGGTGGGAAGACTCCCAAGACCAAAGAGCCAAGACAAGGCTTCCTTGGCGCATCGATGCCGCCGCGCGTAGCTTTCGTCGCTCCTCCTCCTCTTCTCATGTTTGACTTTTCTCCAAGTGACCATTCAACAAGCGCCCGCTCGGTAGCCCCACAAGCTGCGATTTCTCAAGCCAAAGAGAACACGCTCAATGTCCCCCTGCTCTCTCTGTGCATGTGATGGATGGCGGTGTGACCCCGATGGCGGCGTACTTCCTGTCTGGCCTCATTACGAGATGGAGACAAATCTTTGCGAGGCTTCATCAATCTTTGGGGCCGAAAGATCCGCGCGCCAGCGCCTCGCTCCGTGCGGCGACGTCATCCGCTCTGCTCTTTGCTCACAAAAAGACAAGAGGGCGGCGCTCCAAAAAACGCCGCCGCGCGACGGCCGCCAGACCCTCGGTGGACTCACCCGCCATCTGCTGGATCCCGCTGAAGGCGCCCAGGTTGCCGGAGGACGTCGCCTGCTGCAGCAACTGTGCACAAAGACAAACAAAAATTTGAAGAAAAAAAAAAAAAACCACAAGAAATCCAAGATTCAATTGTTTGCAAGTGTTGAGCAGCGATCCGGTGTGTTGGCGAGCTAACGATGGCTACATCCCAAAAATGCAGCTTCCTTTCGGAGGGCCGCTGGTGCGGCTGCGTGAGAGTGCCTTGTTGTCAGCTGTGAGCGAGCCGAGAGAGCAAAAATAAAAAATAAATCAATAAAAAGCCCAACTGGCGGCACGGCTCCAGCATCCGAACAGCAGGAGTTGTCACCATTCGGAGGCTTCCCTTTTCATTTGGTCTTGCGGGGACGGGGGGGGAGGACATGACAAGGTGCTTGGGGTCCAACCCCCCCCACATAATTGATGATTTGTCTGCTAGGGGGAGGAGAAATTTGTTTTCCGTCGTAAGCCGCCGCGTTGTAAAACTTTCGGCTCCGGTCCGAGCACCGGCAGCCGCTCGATTGCTTCGCCGCAGCCAAAAGACGGATGAGAGCAAGCGGCGTCCAACTTTAACGACGGCCCGCCGAGAGCTCCTAAAAATGACTCTCGTTCATTTTTCCTCCTCCGCCTCCTCCCCCCGCTGCTCGTTGCCTTTATGTCTAATTTGGGAACGCTTTGTGGCGGGGGTTGTCATGGCAACAAAGACGAGAAGACCTTTAAAACCGCTCATCCTTTGGGCTGAAACAAAAAGCCGAATTTAGCTCCGCGCCTCCAAGAATAGCGGGACCCGGCTTTGCTCTCGGGCGGCCGAGAAAAGGCGAGCGCAAGGCGCCGGGCAAAGATTTCCGCGGGACTCGAAGAGCCGGCCGGGCAGCAAATCTTTTGCCCCCCCTCCTTCCCCCATCGTGAGCCAAATGTCGAAAAAGAGTGGTCCTTACAGCCAAGTACTGCGGGGTGAGACCGCCCAGGCCCGTCAGGCTCCCCCAGGTGGTGGCGCTGTTGAGCTGCTGCATTTGCTGGGCCAGCTGCTGCTGCAGACGCCGCTGCTCTTTGTCCTTCTGCGTGTCGGCAAACTTCACCACAATGGGGGACGAGCAGCCCTGCGAGGAGGAGGAGGAGGGAGGTGGCGGGGGGAATCGGCGGCATGAAAAAGAAACACTTCAAAGGGTGGAGGGGAAAAAAAAAAAAAGCATTTGTGTGGCTCTCTTGATTCACCCCCTAATCTTGATCTTCAACTCAAAAACGGTGCTGATCTCAAAGTCAAAGTGATGCAACGCTGCCATCGACAGGCGTCGGCTTGTTATTGCAGTGGCTGGCAACCTTGATATTCAGACAAAAGCTGGGCCAGTGACAATCCCTTTGAATTCAATCTTATCTAATCATGTCATGCGTTGAAAAAAATGCCTTCTTGTAAGATTGCCCCTTTTTTCTCTGAGGCGCGCACACGCACACACACGTACACACACACACACACACACACACACTCACACACACACACACACACACACACACACACACACACACACACACACACACACACACACACACACACGTACACACATAGTGCAAAACGATGTCTCGCATCGCCGCACGCACATGGCCCTCCATGCAGGAAGCTCGACTGCAAAGCCGGAGGGCTCCACAAGGGCTCAGTTATCTCCGAGTCCAGAAAGAGATTTCCCGACTTCTCCAACTATTTCATCATCATCATCTGCGCGTGCATGCGTGTGAGAGCGACCGGACAACGAGGATGACCGGCGAGCGCCACAGCGAGCGCGAACAGGTCCGCAAGAAGATGGCGAGATTCTGACTGGCAGGAGTGGCTTTTGTTTGCGCAAGTCATTTGCTGGATTTGTTTCTATTTTATTATTAATTTTTTTTTTTTTTGAGAGGGTGTGTGTGTGTGTGTGTGTGTGTGTGTGTGTGTGTGTGTGTGTAGGAGTGGGGCGGTTGAGAGTGCAGGCAAGATTGGCTATGAACAGGCTTTGTTTTGACATTTGTTTAGCGTTTGTTGGGGGAGGGGGTTGGGGGCGAGCGTGCCGAGCCCACTTTGGGGCGTGGCTTTTTTTTGTGGTTCTTCTCATGTCAGATGATCAGAACTATGAATCGTTTCTCGATTTGCGTTTGATTGAGCTCATAATAATCAGCATTTTCGGTTTGGATCTGACTGGCTGCACGACGGTAACGAGGAGGCGCTGGAAAGAATGCAGAAGGGCGCGCGAGGGGTGCGCGGTGGCGGCGAGCAGCCCCCGCCGAGGCGCCAATCGGCTCCTTGCCATCCGCCTTCATTTGGACCTGACATTCAGGTGGCGCCTGAATGCCAGGCTGTAATGAGATGCCGGATATGACACTGACAGGCCTGTCAACATACACGCACATGCACGCACACACACTATATATATATATGGGGGGGAGGGTTGGACTGAAAAACAAGTAAAAAAAAAAAAAAAAAAAAAGACTTTCTCTCGGAAAAGCTATTGTCATGCGATAGCAATTTTTCCTCCCTCAAAACAACACGCACATCCACCCATGAAGAGGCGTGCTGAAACGGAGCCAAGACAATAAGCCGACTCTATTTACCAAAAGTCAGTGGGAGCAAAAGTAATTACTTTTAAATTGCAGAAGCTGACCAAACCAAAGTGCCCGAGGCCACGTGGCTTGTTGCTCACCAAAAAGTGCAAGTGTTCGCCCCGCAAGTCATGAACAATGTGCAACCATTCGAGCTGAATAGCGACACTCTTTCCATCATCGCCAGAAACCTTTTCAATTCACACTGGACCTGCCATACGCAAGCATCGCACGCTGTGCGGCGGCCTCAAAGGAGCAACCCATCCATCTATACATATAGTTCGCTCCCTCTCTCTCTCTCTATGTACACACACACACACACACACACACACACACACACACACACACACACACACACACAAAGCCTGTTATTAGCAGCGACTCACACGCCTGTAATTCTCTCCCAATGGCAAGCCCGTCACCCATGCCGAGACAAAAGCACACAAGCGGCATCCAGGAAGCCCATGAAGGCGCAGCCGATGGGTTCTGCGGTCGCCTCCTCCCTCCCCCTTCGAGGCAAAGGTGTTTGTTTTCATCGGCCGGGCAGGTTAGCCCTTCCGCAATAAGGGCGTTCAAATGCGCCATTTGGACGAGCGCTCATATAGGATGTGAGTCAGCCCCGATAATTTGCACCATCTGCAGCCCCGCAATCGTTTGACAAATTCAGTCCCCGCGGCCAGTTTGGCGGAGCAGCAGTGAATTCCATGATTTGATTCACAAAAGACATCCGGGGACAGCCATGGCCAAAAATGACAAAGGGAGCAACTTGGCATCATGAAATTTGAAAAGCAGGTCTATCGTGAACCGAGCCACAAAGTCAACAACCAAACGAAAAAGTCTCGGGGAATGTCCGGTATTGGATTCAAAGTGGTGCTGGATGCGTACCGAGCGGTACGCCTGCGTAGGTCGCGGTGCGAGGCTGAAGGACAGACAAATTCATTGCGACGGCGAGTACAAGATGAGAGGGTACCGTACCTCCATGGTCTGAGACTGGTGCATGGCTTTGATTGCATTCTGTGCCATAGCTCGGGTGGAAAACGTGACAAAGGCACATCCTGTTGGGAGGGAGGTGGGGGGAGGGGGCCGGTGGGACAGCGGGAGGGAGGGAGGAAGGAGGGAGGGCAGGAAGAGGAGGAGGAAAGACGAGAAAGAACAAAAACAAGACAAAAGGGTTGGACACGTCGTCGTTGTAAAAAAACCCACAAGAGACCCAAAAAACAGAGAACGGGACGACGAGTGTTGTCGGTCGCTATAGCAACAACAGCAGGAAGCAAGCACAGTGTCACGACAAGCACGCACGGCCCCGCCCTCTTTCCGCGTGACTCCACCTCCCCCTCCGTCCGGCACGGCCGCGACGGCGCACGGGCAAGCGGTGCCCCGCGGGCCTCTCGCGTTCGTGAAGGCAGCCGAGGAGCTCAAGCGACGAACGAAGCCCCTGCCGGGCCCGCCTATCACGACACGAGCCACCAAAAAGTCCAAAGAGGCCAAAAAGCGTCCCGATTGGAGGCGACGTGAAAGCGGCGCCAGGCTCAGCTTGGACGCGGCGTTTGGGCATTTTCGTTGCGCTTTCATTCGGGTTCACGTCTGCCTCCCGATTCCCGCCCGGGACTTTGGCAAAAGCCATCGGCGGTCAGCAATCAGATGATAAAAGTCAGCGGGACCGCTTCGGTGCCACGACATCACGCTGGTTCTTTGTTCGAGCTCGCCAGGCCTAAAAATACCTCTCGCCGGCGGAGAAGCAAAAGTAGGCGAGCTCCCTCGGCCCGATCCATATTTTATTCATAGCGTGACGGCTCCTTGCGATTTTTCAGAGCGGCTCGATGGCGCCGAGGGGCGGGGCTCGCCGACGCCGGGACTCGCGGGGACGTTTTTGGAGCTGCTTTATTTGCCAAACCGGTCGGGGGTGTTTTGTTTGCTCGCCAAAACCGACGCAGCGCTACTTCCTCTTTGCACTCGCCGCTAAGTGCTCCGCGTTAGGCAGGACCAATCGCTACGGGCGGCGCATGCGGGTACGGCCGAGCGGGCTTCTTCTGGAATTGGGGGAGAGTGGAGCACGCTGAAAAAGTCCACGCAGCGGCAAAACATCCACAACAGCTCCACAATAACCACACAACAACAACAACAACACACGGCTGACACGGATGACACTGAAGCTGGCGTGACGGGAGGAGGAAGAGGAGGAAGAGGAGGAGGAGGAGGAGGACACACGGGAAGCACAGGCGGCGGATTTGAAAGTGAGCTCCACTGAGCTCCGAGCTTCTCGGTGGAAGAGAAGAGTCAATTCTCTTTGGGATGACGGATTCATGCTTGCCGTTATTTGTCCTACACTGGAGATGAAATTGCCACGGGGCCGCTGGACGCTGCCGACGGGTCCTGGCCCGGCCTGAAATCCCCGCCCCCAAAGCCAATTCAACTTTGCTCGGCATCCCTGTCATGAAAAGACCCCCCCCCCTCCCCCCAAAACGTAAGTCTCAACAAGCGCAAGTCTGAGCTTTTGAGTGAGAGACGTAAGCAGAGAGCGATCAAATCTGGAGGCCTTTTCAGCTTTTTTGCGTGTTGTCACCTCTAAAGCGCACGGGCGTTTTCTCGTCGCTAATGAGAAGGGGGGGGGGG